GTGGAACAATAAAGTTTATACTCAGGATTCCCTTTTGGAAAAGAAAAAAAGGGGAATAGGTAGGTTAGGATATTAAGGTAGATTATTGTATCTACTTGTAAACTAAGTTAGCAAACTATCAGCCTTAGATAATTTGCACTGGTATGGATTCTTGTATATTGATACAAATGTAAACTATTTTTCTATTCTTATTTAAGATAATTTGTATATTGATGCAAATTCACAACTGTAATTGTCATATTGTACATATGTTCCTACTTTTGTTTGAAATATTTTGTGTGTTGACACAAATGTATAATTATATTTATTATATTGTATGTATGTTCTACATCTGTTGATGATATTTTGTATATTATACATATTAAGAATATTGTTGTCATATTGCACTATACATTTCTATACTGTCAGAATTTTGAGGTCATTGTCCTTATACTGTACATTTGTTTACAATTTATTTACTGTTAATGTGTAGCCTTAGTCCTTAGGTTATTTAGGTAGATAAGACTTACAGATTAATAGTCACGCATGCTTGTCATAGTTACTGATATGTTAGTTAGGTTTTCCAGATTTATAGAAATGTATGTAAGATGGATAGATAATCTTCAAACAATTCATAGACCTAGAGAATATGGCATTTTAATGCTTTGATAACTTAGAATTCTATTGACTGATGTGAGACACAATTGCTCCTGGCAGCACCAATCTGATCCCGAGAGAATGTTGGGCTTCTAAGACATTTCTGTTTGGAAGTTTGTCTTCTTCTTGGCACAAAATGGCCTGCTGGGTAAAGAACTTCCTTTGCCTCAACTGCAGACAGGATGAACGCTGTCCTTTCCGGATGAGCAGGACACAAGGAAAAGCAACTGCTGAACCTTGCCAAGACAGGATAAGATGGTCTTTCAAAATTCCTGCTTCTGAAAATGGTCTGTCAGATATTCTAAGCCTATAGCCCAAAATGGATGCCCCAATAATGCTGAGAAACATTATTGTCCAGGCTGCCAGCTATCTGTCAATTCTTGCAATTTTTTGGAAGTTGCTTGCTTGCACTTTCTGTTTACTCAGGTAATATTATTTTCCTTCTCAGGTCTTTGATGGGGTTAAAGACTAGATAGTTACAGTTATAATCCTCTCATATCTTAGCTAAGAACATTTTAGGTACTAAAGTTTCTTCAAGATAGGACAGCGATTGGAGTAATCTCTATAACTTGCCATTTACCTATGGTCTGGACATTTAATATGTATTTCTTGTTGTTCTTGTTGGTTGTATTTCCATTTTTGTTTATGTTATTACCTTTCCCTTTTCCTGAAAAATACTTGATAGTTGTTCCTATTGTATATAGTTTTTTGTTAGGTTTAGAACTTTCTTATTTAGATAAAAGAGGGAGATGTAGTGGGTACCTGTTCCTCCTATGACCTTGAGGTACAGCCCCTAGGGCGAGGCCTCTGAGATAGCTTAAGACCTGAGGGGCACATATGAAATCCTCTCTTCTGTCCCTCGTGGGCTTGGACAGTGGGGACTGATTCAGACAGCAGAAGCATCACGGGACCAGCCATCAGCCTTCCAGGACTCTGTGACGGATCTGCCTTATCCTGTTTAGTGAGTTGTTCTCCTCAATATAATTTCTTAATAAATAATTCCTTTATCAATAATCTGTGGATTATCTGCAATACCAAAGTATATCAGGAGCACATGGACACATGGGCAGCAAAAGACACCAAACAAAGCAAGCCTGTGAATTTACTGAGCACACCAACCATACTCTCCTCATCTGAGACTATAAAAGTAGCACCCCAAGACTGAGATGTGTCAGACACACCAACCTATCTCCTCTTGTCCAGGACAAAAGGACCTGCGCCTCTGTCCCCAGGCTTCAGCTTTGCTCTGCCCTGCAGTCTGGTCCCCTATGGAGACTTTCCAGTTCTCTTCATCTACCTCCTGGGCAGCCTCTAACCCTTTCCTCGCCGACTGAGTCAGCAGAGGCCCATCCGATGCATCACTGTGATGGGAGATGCTGACAGAAGGGGAGGCTGTGCATCAGTGAGGACCACGAGTGCATGAAGAACTGGGTAGGATTTGGCTCAACTTTGTTGTGAATATAAACTATGCGAAGTGTAACACGTGACCTCAGAGTTGGTAACTTTTAACTTTTTTATATCTATTGGTGCAGTGGTGAGGAGATGCCTTAATTTTTTTTTTTTTTTTTTTTTTTTTTTTTTTTTTTTTTTTTTTTTAAAGATTGGAGTAAAGGAATCTGTGATGGCCGGTGACCACTAGGGAGTGAAATCAGGATCACTTGGTGAATTACAACCAAGAAAATTGACATAGCATGTGAATTTGTTGCCTGTTAGTAAGTTCTGACATTGTAGGAATATATGGATGTGTCTGTCTGTATTTCTGACAAGCTGCCTTTATGACGCCTGCAGCAGGAGGTGCAAGGATGGAGTTGGTATGTGACTTTAAAGACTTTGGCTCAAGGTGGAGCCCAGGTATTTGGGACAACAATCTAGCAATCCTTGTTGGTGCCCTGGAGTGTTTAAGGTCCCGGCTTGGGTTCCAGCCTGCAGAGGTTGGAGGACCTGCAGCGGAAGAGAAGCAGTCCAACGCTCTGTGATTTGAGATGCCTCAGGGTTCGGGTGGAGGGAACTGTGGTGCTCTGCATCTAATGCTTAATATAGTCTCCTTTGACAGGCTCTGGATCACGTAAGAGTCAGGGCTCTGGGGATGTTTGTGGGAGGTTGTCTAGACTGAGTAGTTGAAGAGAGATGGCCCCTGGGCTGAATAAGAAACAGCAGCAGCTCTCATCTCTCTCCGCTTCCTGACTGTGGAAGCATCGTGATCATGTGATCATGTGATTCTGCAGCTACACTTCTGCACAACGATGACCTGTGCTGGCAAACTGTTAGCCAAAACAAACCCCTTCCTTAAATTGCTTCTCACAAGTATTTTTCACGGCAAACGGGAAAAGGTAACTAATACATAGGATAGGATAGGACACTAGAGCCTCCAGCATCAAAAACAAAACAAAACAAAACAAAACAAAACAAAACAAAACAAAAAAACATTAAGGCATCTCCTCACCACTTCACCAACAGAAATGAAAAGCTAAATGTTGAACCTTCCATTTGAAAGCGTTCCTGTAAAAACACGGCATCTCTGAGAAGACAGCCGAAGTGGGCATCTTCGTTTTCTACAGCTGCCAGCCAGCACAAATGGTGGTTTCAAGCAACAGAAACTTGTTACTTTGAGGTTCTGGAGGCCAGAAGTCTCCGTCAAGGGGGAGTGGAGTTGTACTATGGGGAGAACCCCGCCTAGTCCCTCCCGGTTTGGGGGGCCTCCTCGTGTGTCTTTGCCCAGCCTCTGGCGTTTGCCTAGGCCCCTCCTTTTGTTTATCAAAGCAGCCCCCTAAGCAGGGTCAAGGCTGGGCGCATCTTTTGAGTGGACATTCTCGAACCTACGGCTATGGTTTCAGGAGTGAGAGGAAGAACTTCCCAGTGTACGTTTGGGGGGTGGGGCTAGGGGATAGATCTGAAAAGGGGGAAGCGTTGCTTGGGGCAACTTATGGTAGGGGGATAGTTAATGAGGGATGAAAACCCAGCCAAGTGGCAGGCACCCTGCTAGGTACTAGGTATCCTTCCCACCTCCCCTACCCCCACCCTGGGAGAATGCAGTGAAGGGTGTGGGATGAGACGTGACTGCTCCTCTGATTCCATCTGTCAAAGAGCCCAGGGTACCTACACACCTTCCCCTTTCCTCCCCCCACCCCGTCCCCCTCCCCCGACACAGGCTGTTCGGGAGCACACACACACACACACACACACACACACACACCATACTGAATCGACCGTCTTAGCCCGACATTGAGAGGTTCTGTGTACAGTTTCAGGGTAAGAAGCCTCAGAGGGAGCATGAGAAAGACTAGCTGGGGGACTTGCTGCAGGTAGCCTTGGGGGGAACGCTGGCCGAAGTCTGGTTCATCAGAGCAAGGCGGAGTCTCCAGCCTCTCTGAGTAAATGTGAACGAACTCATTTTCCTGCAATGCTGGGCTATTTGGTGGGGGATAAAGAAACAGAACACAGGGATGACATCAACCTGGCCTCACGGCCTTCCCTTAGCCGACTCCAGAGGATTCTGTGGTGTGAGGTCAAGACAAAGGTGGAATGGACGGCTGCCTCAGACTGCAGGACCTGGATTCACGGCTGAGCAGCTGCAGACTGCGATCCCGAAGCAGCTTGGAGTCCTGCTTCCGAGGAGAGGCTGGCACTGTGCCTTCCCTCTGTACCACCTGCTCTGACACCAGAGCCACAGGGCTCCCCTTCACTCTCCTGCCCGGCGCATGGTTAGCGTGCACGTGCACGGAAAGCTTGCTCCATTGAGTTCTTGGCTACAACGTATAAAAAAACGAAAAACACGACAAAAACAAACAAACAAAACAAAATCCCCAAACAGACACAGACTGAACCTTTGGATCCCCCCCGCCTTGTGCTTACAGTGGAGTTTGGCATCTTTGAGGATTTAAATGTGGAGTCTTTGTCCCTGGAGGTGAGTGTAGCTGGAACCCAAAGAAAGCAGTTTCTCCAGGTGGACTATGGGAGCAGAGGGGTGCCGGCCAGGGAGGGGATCCAGGCTGTAGGGAGAAGTCTGTGGGCGGTGAGGAGTCTGTATCCGACATGGACTAAGGTCGTGGGTCACAGGAAGGAGGAGGGTCCAGGGGAAGTTAGTTAATATTGTTGGAGGGAGAAGTAAGGGGGTGGCTGGCAGACCCCGGAAACACTGAAGAGGTGGGCTCAGCATGGCTCTGACTTGGCACCAGGGCTGAAGATGAGAGGCGGGGGGGGGGGGGGGGGGGGGGGGGGGGGGGGGGGAATGTGGCAGGCCCGGCTTGCAGCCCAATTAGGATTTGGGGTTTCATTCTCCTCTGGACGTCATTTGACGCTGTCTGGGGAGGGCGAGGCCGAAACCTGATCCTTTAGTACCCAGGCCCCGTTAATGTTTAATCCGAGAGGATCTTCCGATGGGGCTTGGGGTGGCGTGATCTCCCAGCCCCCAGGCGTCCAGCACCCACACCCTAGAAGGCTTTCGGCCCCACGTGGACGCACGCACGCACGGCGGTCTGGGACTGGAGGGCTGAGTCGGTGTTTGGCGCCTCGGGGACATCACAGCCCGCAGCCCCCGAGCCCGGTGCTACGAGTCCTGCACATCCACGTCCTTCCCACCGCCGCGTCCGCCTCTCCTCTCCCCGATGGGCGCCCGCTGCTTTGTGCGGCTGCGGTGGCCGCTGTCGCCACTGCTGCTGCTGTTGCTGTTACTGCACCCGGTGGGCGCCGGTGCCCAGGACGAGGATGCTGACTACGAGGAGCTGATGCTAGCCCTCCGGTCCCAGGAGGATGGTCTGGCCGATGAGGTCCCGCACATGGCCACCGCCACCTTCCGTCGTTGCTCTAAGGTGCGGGCAAGGGGTGCCAGGCAAAAGTGTCACTTCGGGGTTGGGGTGGTGTTCTCCGAGGGTCTTCTCTGCTCATCCAGTCGTCTGGCGGTCTCAAAGTGCAGTCCCGGGGTGTGAGAGGCAAGATCCAGCATGCAGCTAGCTGCACCTTGTAGCCGCGTGGTGGGGGTGCTAAAAGCTTACTTTTCAAGGTGTGGGGTGGAGAGCGAGCTACTGGTGCAGAGAGGGTGTCCTTCGAAGTAAGGTGGTCGGAGACCATGGCGGGGCTGAGAGCTCTAGGGGCACATCTTTCTCAACTGAGTGCCGACAGTCATCCTGGGTGTCTGTTGGGGGCTCTGTGGGCCGTGTACTACGGAAAGGGTGAAAGAGCTGAATGACTTGGGGTGAGTGAGTGGGTGGGGTCAGCTTCCTGGGCATAGCTGTCCCTGGCTCGCGGCCACAGGAAGCTCCTGCCTGAGGTGGAGCAATTTTCTCTAAGTTAATCTTCCCAGGGTTCCACTTTGCCCGGCTCGGAAATGGACTTGGGGTTGGAGGTTGGAGTCACCCACCTGGCTCTGGATGTCCAGTTCCTTTGTCTGGAGCTTTCGTTAAAAGGGAAGTGACGGTCCTTAGGTGACTACCTAGGTGATCTCCGGATGTAACCAGGGAAGAGACCACTTGTGGGACTATAGACAGCTGCAGTGTGACCACCTGGCCGCTGCTACTGGGGCAGAAGGGAGAAGGGGCTTCCTAGAGCTCTCGGGGCCCAGCCAGCCAGCGTGCTGGTGGGCGGATGTCAGGTTCCTAACTCGAAACACTCCTTACGACGTTCCCTGAGCTCTGTACCTACAGGGACATGGAGTCATGGGCCAGGGTGATAAAGGACATTTTAGAGGCAAGCATGCCGGTAATCTTGGCTCTCAGGAGGCTGAAGCAGAAGGATTGTGAATGCAAGGCCAGCCTGAGCTACACATAGCAAGGCCCTGCCACAGACAAATAAGACAGTTCTAATCATCATTGTCCCCAAAACAACGATCACAGGAAACCCTGAGTCCCCTATTTTGAGAGGCAAGTGAGAAGAAGTGAATGTGTGTCTGAGGGGGTCAGGAATGGCCGAAGGGTTACTTATTCATTCATTCAATGAATGTTTTGTGGGAATAAAATTTAGAATGAAAATAATTTTGGCAAGGAATTGTAATCCGATCTTTGGTGTACCCCTGGCTTCCAGGAAAACTCTCATTCCGTTGCAGAGGACCCTTCCAATTGTGTAGCTTTTCACTGGGCAGCAGGCATTCTAGATGGAGCTTTGAAGTCTAACTAGGAGCTCGAGAAATGAATGAAGGTGGCGTGAGAATTTTCTGCTAGAGAGGAAGTGGCATGAATGGAGGTACAGAGCTGGGGGAGGCAGAGGAGGAATAAGGCCCGCGTGTCTGCAGCCCCTACACTGCCTTCTGAGATCTGAGATGTTCTGAACCCCAAAGACTCTTTATGGTTTACCTGACGGTAAAGCTGGACCTGATCGGACTCAAGGTTGTTGATAATCTCCGATCACTCCGTCGGTGTGGATGTGGCTATCCAGACATTTGCTGCTCTCACCCCTGAGTTCACTTCCCAACTCCCATTGCTGCCTTTCTAAAACCCCAGTGACCCCGAGGACTGGCCTTCTCTGGCTAGAGTCAAAGGCGCATGTGCGGTGATGTAGGCGGTGAAGGCACGGGGGGGGGGGGGGGGGGGGGGTGGTGGTGGAAGCAGAGGCCAGGGAGGAGCATGGAGATTGGGCTTCAGCCACTGGGTGGAGTGGATCTGTGGAAGGTTCTCCAGCATGGGCCTCTTCCTCATAGCTTCACCCTTGACCCTTCTCTCTGTCTGGAGGTGTTATTTTGCTCACTTTGCTGGTCATCTCTTCTGCCCCCATTGGCCAAGCAGTTAGGTGTTGAGCACACTCATCTCTTTGGAACACCTTTGTAGGTGTATCCTGGGTGTGTTATGGACTCTGTAACACAAGAGATATCTGGGGTTTGAAGAGGCCGAGTGATTTGCTAGTGGCCAAAAGACTGGGAAATAGTACTGGAGGTGGCCTAGCAAATGCTGGAGGTGGGATTAAGGTCTGAAGCCTCTGGCTTTTCTCCTTTGGGCTGCTGCTGGAGGGGAGTCAGAGCTGGGTAGGAGAAAAGTGAGTTACCTTGGATGGGCCACTGAACACGGAGGTGTGGCTAGGAAGGCCTCTGGCACAAGAGGCCTTTGGGTCGAGTCAGCTGAGTGGCCAGGCCTTGGTGGATTACCTAGAGGGCTGGGTGTGGTGTGGAGGCTGCCACGTGTGGCCCATGCCTTCCCTCCCTGCTGACTGCCAAGTGTGAAAACCTGTACACCACAGTAACACAAATGGTTGCTTAGCTGGGGGATTTGTGTTTTCGCCACCATTTGATCCCTTCTCTTTGCAGTGTGTCTGTTCTGTTTCCTTGGCTTCAGTCCTGCTGTGCGGGCAGGACTGGGATGTAGCATGCACACAGTTGACTTCCCACACTTTCCTGTTGTGTGAACTCCGTTCCTATAGAGCACTGTTTACTCCCCGGGGAGGAATGCCACCACAGGAACAGCCTGGGGAAGATGCTTCCTTAGCAATGGGGGGTTTGCATTCAAGGATGTCATGTAAACATCCTTTCAGGCATGGAAATCTTTATGTCTCTGATGATTCACCGTCTGATCATCATAATGTATTTGTCTCTCAAACCCTGTCCTTTGTCCTCACCCCGTAAGACACCTGTCCCGTGACGATCACCATAGAAGAATTAGCATTTTGATTTTATGCTGTTTGATTAACAGTCTTTTTATGCCACCAGTCCTGAATTGAAGGGAGTTAGCAGGTTTTAAGCAAGCCCTGGCCAGCGTGTCCCAGTCATGGGGTACAAGGTGCTCTGTTTCAGCTATTCCTCTCAGCAATTCCAAAGCATATGGAGATGTAGCTTCAGATCAGGACTTGGCACAGTTATTTATTTGTTTGTTTCATTTTTCTTTATTAAGAAATTTTCTACTCACTCCACATACCACCCACAGATCCCCCCTCCTCCCTCCTCCCACCCCTAGCCCTCTCTCCCAAGCCACCCCGCATCCCCACATCCCTCAAATCAAGGTCTCCCATGGGGAGTCAGCAGAGCCCGGCACACTGAGCCTAGGCAGTTCCAAGCCCCTTCCCACTGCACCAAGGCTGTGCAAGGCGTCATACCACATACCAGATTCCCAGAAGCCTGCCCATGTACCAGGGACAGATCCCGATTCCCCTGCCTGGGTGCCCCCCAAACAGTTCGAGCCAAACAAGTGTCTTCTGTATCCAGAGGGCCTAGTCCAGTCCCATGGGGGCTCCACAGCCACCAGTCCACAGTTCATGGGCTTCCACTAGTGTGGCCGGTCATCTCTGCATGGAGGACTTGGCACATTTAAGCCCCTCAAGTGTCCTATAGGGAAAGGAATAGGCTCATACTTTGCACATATCCCCCACTGAGGAAAAACATCATTCACTCTTCCCCCAAGGGGTTGGAAATGCACTGGGACCACGAAGGCAAGGTTAGGGATGCCTCGGCATCCTTCCTTTTAAGCTAACCGGACCTCTCAGGATAATGCAAAAGCACCAACTCATGGGAAGCAGAGGAAGGGCTAGCAGAGAACATTCTGTCGTCTGAATCGGAAGACTGGGAGTGAGGGGGGGAGGGGCTGAAGCCCTCAGCCCCCCTTCTGTCTGAAGGGGCTGTCTGTCTGGTGGTTTCTCCTTGTGCTGATAGGACGGGAGTAGTTTACAAAGGCTGAATTACTAAGGTGATCAGATTAAAAGGGGCTAGACATTTAATGGGGTCACCTCTCCCTGCCCATGAGCTTGTTTAAAATAACACAAAACATCTTTTTCCATTGCTTTATGTGCAATGGACCCTAGGGTGGCAGCCAGTAACAGTATGTGTCCATATATTCTGACAGGTCATAGAAATCTGTTTTTTTTTTTCCTTCCTCATGCTTTTAGCATCATGTACAATAAGCACATCTCTTTTGCTTTTGGTTTGCCCCATGATTATCCTGGTGTCCTGGAGTGAGATTCTAGGGTGCTTTCCAAAGCCATATACCTCTCATTAGATTCCCTATGTTTTGGTCAGGTCCCTGTTTGGGTGCCACCTCTTTCATCCTGCCGGTGATTAGTGCAACTCAAGAGTCAATAGAACCAGGGGCCTCAAGGCTCCACAAGAGCCTTTTATCAGTATTCTGTGGGGTGTTTACTTGGATAGTTCAGAGTTCAAAGCAGGGACAGAGAAACCATGGGAAATATACATATTAATTATTGCTCTCACCAGATGTGCCCTAAGCTACATTGCTAAGGAGGAGAGATGAAAGATCTTTCCTGACGCATTCCTTGGGCAGGCAGAGACATTGCTCCCAGAGAACTAAATGATCTTCTCCAGGAACACAGTTCATGAAAGATGGCGTGGGGAAGTCTGTCATATGAATGCTACGCTGGGTCACTGTGGGTCTCCTGGAGCTCTCATGTTCTCTGCTTCCCTTCCTCCCTGGGGACCAGGAGGCCTGGAGGCTGCCAGGCACCTACGTGGTGGTGCTGACCGAGAAGACACAGCGACTGCAGATTGAACAAGCCATCCATCGCCTGCAGACCAGGGCTGCCCGCCGGGGCTATGTCATCAAGGTTCTGCACATCTTCTATGACCTCTTCCCTGGCTTCTTGGTGAAGATGAGCAGTGACCTGCTGAGCCTGGTGAGCCTCTTGGGCGTGGCGCTTCCCAGGAGGGACGGCCTTCCATTTCCATGTCTAGACTGAGCTTAGCATGCCCACTGCTGAGTCAGGACCAGTGATACCTATGAACTCTTCCTGGGTCACAACAATGGTTCCCGGTTCCCTGGTAGCTGCCTTGTAACCTTGGCTGTGTCCCAATGCCATGTCTACATTCATTGGAGGACAGAAGGATCACAAGACAGCTAGCAGGAGAGCTTGGCCCCTACCCAATGGCATGTCTGTCTGCTTTTTTCACTGCCTTTGGGAACCACAGGGACAAGGCCTGGGACATTGGCTCTTTTTGTTTGTTTGTTGTGTGTGTGTGTGTGTGTGTGTGTGTGTGTGTGTGTGTGTTGTTTTTTTTTTCAAGACCAGGTTTCTCTGTGTAGCCCTGACTGTCCTGGAACTTGTTCTGTAGACCAGGCTGGCCCCGAACTCACAGAGATCTACCTGCCTCTGTCTCCCGAGTGTTGGGATTAAAGATGTGTGCTACTGCCTCCCCAGCTCTTATAGAGTGTCAGAGGTGTCAGGTTCTTCTCTTCTGGAACAGGGGTAGTCCTTCTCCATCACTCCTGAGTGCTGCGCCTTTCTTTGCTGGAGGAGGTGAAAGGGGCGCTGGCTATTGCCCGCTCTCCCTGCTCTTCTCTCCATCATGGCACTCCAGGTTCCCATCTGCATGCCAGTTCCCTTCCCCACCGGGTGCCTTCAGCCTCCTGCACACACGTAGGTACCAGGGCTCAGGGCCTTGCTCAGACCTCCACTGTGCACTATGCACACACCCAGATCACCACTGCCCCAGGGTTTAAAGTGACTTGACATCTTGTGACTAAATGACTGTGAGGCCTTGACGGGGTGTGGACAGGGCCAGCATGCAGGAGGACATCAATCAGTGCCTTCTGTCTGTCTGCTGTGCACGTCAACAGGCATCTTCTGTGACCGCAGGTGAAGGTGACCCAGCCTTTCCGTCAGGGTTACAGCAAAGGTGGAGATGGACCAGCTGAAGCCAGAGCAGTTAGCTGGTGCCATGCACTTAGCTCGGTGGGGGATGAATAAGACACCCGAAACGCCAGGTGCCAGGCAGGCGCCTGCTGATCAGGGCAACCAGCTTTGTACAGGCCACGAAATTTGCCTGGGAAGTTGAGCCTTGGCATCTCAAAAGGTGCCATGGTCGGCTCAGTGTCCCATTAGTTTATTTAACTTAGAGCAGGTGTCTCTATCTCCCAGGACTAACTGTGAGTCAGATGTAGTGATGGTAGCCGTCATTTAAGGACTGGTGGAGAATGTGGAATTTTCTTCCTTCCTTCCTTCCTTCCTTCCTTCCTTTCTTTCTTTTATTTTGTATAGGGATAGGTTGAGACAGTGTCATGCTCTGTAGTTCAAGCTGGCCTCAAACTCATGATTTCCCCAACTCTGTTTCTGGAATGCTTGTGTTATAGACAGGTACCAACATCCCCAGTTGAATGTGGAGTGTTTAAGCAGATGTTAAGTAATGAAACTGACTGGTAGGTTACTGAGGCGCCAGAGATGTCTTGGGCCTCCAGGAGGGGAGGATGAGGAGAGGATGTTGAAGCCTGGAGGAATGGCACCTGGGGATGGGACTACTGTGGACGTGGTTAAGGAGCAGGGTACAGGCCCCCTCTCCGTCAAACTGATGTGGATGCCTCCTGTTAGCTGAACACACTGGAGGCCTCTGCCTGGGAGTCCGGTGCTGTGCTTAGTGCCAAGGATGGGGATGGAGGCAGACACAAAATGACTAGCAGGGCTTTCCTGATTTGAGTGTGACGTTTAGGCACTAAGATTCCTGACCACCTGACTCCCAGGTGAGAGGAGGAGTCCAGATCCTTCTGGCCAGTCCTATGGATTCAGCTGCTGTAGTTACAGAGCACGATGTTCCCTAACCATAGAGGAGTGAGGCCACCGGCCCCTGATCTGACTCTGGGCCCCAGGAGGGAGGCTTTGGGACAATGTGGGTAGGTGCTCATTGGAGACGGGGACAAGCAGTTGGCTCAGGTGGGGCTGATGTGGGCTGTTGTTAACTGAGGGGCTTTTGAAGCTAAGTTCTATGGCTCTGTGGCTTCTGTAGGCCCTGCAGTTACCCCACGTGGAGTACATCGAGGAAGACTCCTTTGTCTTCGCCCAGAGCATCCCGTGGAACCTGGAGCGGATTATCCCAGCAGGGCACCAGACAGAGGAATACAGCTCCTCCAGTAAGGTCCCCAGTAAGCCTCCGGCCCCCACTTGCTTTGCTCCGAGCCCCCTCCCCACTTGCTGGGGCTCCAGGGTCTGCACTGACCTCTTCTGTCTTCTCTGCATTGCTCCATGCAGAATGCAAATCTTCCCTTAAACGACCCTCCCCCCAGCTTCTCATCCTTGTGGGCTTCATCCCCCGAGTCTTGATAGGCCCCCCATGCTTCACCTCTCTCGGGGAAGAGGCTAGACCTGACTGACCCACTATCTGTGGGATACCCAGCCCTGTAGACTGGGGCAGACCCCTCAGTAGGACAGACACAGCACACTTCAGCTGCTCCCATCTAGATATCTAGTCTCCTGGCTCCCCTTGCCCCCCACCTCCAGTGCCACCAGACTGCTGAAGGCTCCCTCCATCTGTCACTAGGTCTCCTCTACTTAGTGGGTCTTGCTTTCAGAGATGGAGGAAGGTAGCCTGGGTCTGGTGGGATTGTGAGAGATACCGAGCTGAGAAAGGCTTTAGGGTACCTGCTTTGGGAAAGGATCAGGTCCTGTGGAGTCTGAAGGGTCTGTCTCCTGTGGAGCTTCTAGTATGCAAGGAAGGTTAATCTATGGCTTAAGTAGATGGGGCATGGATTAGGTGAGATCGAGGAAACCTGGTAGCTGGGAGTGTCCGAGCTTCTTAGGCTGCATCCAACCAGCCAAAGTGTGCCCTGGGGTTAGCCACAGGGCTCTCTGTGCCAGGCCACAGGCTGGGAGTGGCAAGCTAAGGTTCCTTTTCCTTTGGGACACCTTGCCCTGCCCCCTTACCATACCTACCAGGGACTGAAGTTGGCCTAAGGCCTGCTAGGAAAGTACTCTAAGACTTAACCGTATCCCCAGCCCCAGGATGAATTTTTTTTTAAAAAAAGATTCATTCATTTTTATTTCATATGTTTAAGTGTTTCATCTGAACGCATGTACAGTGTCCACAGAGGCTAGAAGAAGGCACTGTGTCTTCTGGAACTGGGGTCACACATGGTGGTTGGGTATCATGTGGGTGCTGGGAACAGAACCTAGTTCTGAGAGCAACACACGCTCTCAGTCATTGAATCATCAACTCTCTAGTCCTCGAGGCTGAGAATTTCTGAGAGTGGCTGCAGCCTTGGGCTCCCCCTTCCTTTCCTCCATTCTCCTAGCTCTCCTTCCATAGGAACCAGAGAGGTGCTACCCTCCCCAGGCTCCCTGCAGGCACCCCTTCCCTGCCCCCAGTGTCTCACGTCGAGCTCACCCCTGCCTTGTGCCTGCTTCTTGGAGACTCTCACCCACTCGGGGATGGAAGGTGCAGGTATCAGGCTCATGGTGAGCTTCCTGTGCCGAGTTCCCACCTGGCCTCAGTGGAGGGAAAAGTAGCCCATGGGCTTCCCTGGCCCTGGCAGGTGAATGTGTGGACTCAGAGGCTCAGTTTCCTCTCCGGGAATGTGCCAGCCAGGATACCAGGCAGCCCTGTTAGTTTCTTTCTATCTTTTCAGCCCTTGTCTCGGTGAGCTGGAAGAGGCCAATGCTTGGGTTTATTTTATCCTATATCATTATGCTTTGAATGTTCCTATTGCTGTCTCACGTGGAACTGGATAGCTCAGCTCACCTCCCGGGGCTGCCGTTTGCCGGCTTCAGGCACTGGGCCGCTCCCTGCTCTCTCCGTGCCTCGCTCCTCGTGGTAAAACAGATTCAGTAACATGCAGCTTGCAAAGAGCGTGGGGAGATTCCATGAGCTGTCTAATCTGTAGGGTGGTGGACAGCTCAGTATATGAACAATAACCTTACCCCCACGACTGTTCTCCCCTCCCACGAATGCTGCCACGGGAAGATGGAAGTGGCCAGGTGGAGGTATATCTCTTAGACACCAGCATCCAGAGTGACCATCGGGAAATTGAGGGCAGGGTCACCATCACTGACTTCAACAGCGTGCCTGAGGAGGATGGGACACGCTTCCACAGGCAGGTGAGTGTCTCTCTCTCTGACTTCATCTCAGAGGTGGGTGGAGGTGGGCAGAGGTGGGCAGAGGTGCCACCCCCGGAGAATCACGTCAGCACTGCCTGACTTCCCCTGCTATTTGTGGGGTGGGGTGTCGGTCTGTCCAGGCATCTACTGATATATCACGGGGTGAGTAAAGTCATCTCACATGATCCCTGTGTTGACTGAGCAGGCAAGCAAGTGCGACAGCCATGGCACCCACCTGGCAGGCGTGGTCGGCGGCCGGGATGCTGGTGTGGCCAAGGGCACCAGCCTGCGCAGTCTGCGTGTGCTCAACTGTCAAGGGAAGGGCACAGTCAGCAGCACCCTCGTAGGTGAGTGGCACTCTGGGTTCTACCCTCTGTGTGAAGCTGGCCAAAGCTTAGCAGGAACCAAGGTCTCGTAGTCAGGTGGTCTCTGCTACCGTTGAGGGTGATAGAGTTGGCATGGTCCCAGAGATGGAGAATGCAGGGGGGAAACTGAGGCTTGGGAGGGGGCCGGGCTCATGCCAGGTGGGTCTCTGGGCTCTTCCACAGCTCCCCACTGTTCCCTTTTACATGACTGTCGTTCCTCATGCCGCATTAGACTCGTGGAGCCCTGAGGCGGTAGAAGCCATCTTTCCCCGTCTGTGTGCCTAACCCCAGAGCCAGGGCACGCACTTGGTGGAGGGACTGCAGCAGATCTTTCCAGACTTCTGCAGGTTACTCTGTCAGTCCACTCCAGCGGGTACCCAGAGGGCTAGAACTTTGGTGTGTAGGTAGGGGAGAGGGAGGGAGGGAGGAGTACTGACTTACTGCGTCTCACTGTGCTGGGCATGTGAGTGCAAGGCTTGGCAGACAACCCTGCAGCTGGCATGAGATGGTTGTTACACAGTCAGGAATCCCAGCCAGAGAGGGTGACTTGGCCGGGGCCCACAGTGGAAGCCGACCAGCCTCTGGGGAAGGAGCAGCTAGTTAATGGTTTGACTGTCACCAACCAGTCAGATGTTGGCCCTGAGCTGGCTCAGGCAGCATATGGGAGCCAGCTTGGTCCATGAGCCCTGCCTGGGACTTCAGCTGTTATCTATCATCTATCTATCTATCTATCTATCTATCTATCTATCTATCTATCTATCTATCTATCTATCTATCTATCTATCTATCTATCTATCCATCTTATCTATCCATCCACCCACCCACCCATCCATCCATCCATCCATCCATCCATCCATCCATCCATCCATCCATCCATCCATCTATCATCATTTATTCATTCATTCATTTATTTTTATGAGCATGAATGTTTTGCCTGCATGTATGTGTGTGTCAGGTACATACCTGGTGTCCACAGAGGTCAGAAGAGGGGGTCAAATCCTCTGGAACAGGAGTTCAGTTGGTTGTGAGCTACCATGTAGATGCTGGGATCTGAACCCTGGTCCTCTCCGAGAGCATCACGTGCTCTGGATCACTGAGTCATCTTTCCAGCCCCGTGCCTGGGACTTTAGAGCACAGTCATTGACCCACATCTAAATCAATAGCCTCTGTCCCATCGGTGACCTCTTGTGCCGGCCCCACCCCCTTATTGACTAACCCCAGTCCAGCTTGCCACCCTGAAGGCCACCGAGTAGAAAAAGCCTGCTCATTTCCTGGAAGTCCTTACACAGGCCAGGCTGCGGCCTCTGGAGGGCTTCTTGTGGGAGAATGTTCCCCTCTTCCAGGCCCCCACCAGTGCATAGAAAGCTCCTAGGACATTACCGGGGAGGGTGGGCTCAGCATGAGGGAGCTGTTACGTCCACCCTGGCCACAGGGTCCTCTCTATGAAGCTGAGGGGGTAAAGGGGTCAGGTCTAAGCAGTTCTACACAAGCCAGGACCTGATAGCCAGTTGTAATCATAAATGTCACCTACACTCCTGTGTCTAGTTCACTGCCCCTTACCTCCTCCTGGTGCGAGGGGCCTCACCAGCCAACCCTTAGGAATATGGTCCTGGACTCCAGTTCCCAGCTCAACCCTTAGGAATATGGTCCTGGACTCCAGTTCCCAGCTCAGTCACTGCCCTAACCCCCCCCCCCCCCCGGGACACCTGGATCTAGAAGGTTCTGAGAGGTTGGCGTGGCCATACTGTGTGCGACAGAACAGGAGCCTGAACAGGAATGAAGCTGTTAGGACAGGACAGCTGGGTTAGGCAGGTCCAGGTTAGGGGCTGGCGAGGGTTCGAGGAGGCAGCAGGGAGGAAGCTTCCAACTCCGTTCTAGCCTGATTTCTCTATGTCCTGTGCATAGGGTTCTCTCCAGTAACCTAACTTATAGAAAGAATCTCTCTTTCCATATATAGAGGACCTATAAGGATGACTTACAGGGCAGCTAACCAACAATGGTGACTATGAATGGAAAGTCCATGAATCCAGCAGTTGCTCGGTCCATGAGGCTGGATGTCTCAGTTGGTCTTCAGTAGATGTTGGAATCCCAAAGAAGTAGGCTCTAATGCAGTGAAGGAATCACTTGCTAGTGAGGAGAGAGCAAGCAGGCAAAGAGCAGACACTTCCTTCAATGGCCTTACACAGGCTTCCAGCAGAAGGCGTGGCCCAGGTTAGAGGTGGATTTTTCCAACTCAAAAGATCTGGATTAAAGGTGTGTCTTCCCACCTCAAAGATCTGGATTAGAAGTAGATCTTGCCACTTCAAATTCAGCAACAATCCCGCATAGGTATGCCCTCCATTTTCGGGTTTTAGTTAATTCCAGATGTAGTTGACAACCAAGAATGGCCATCACATCCTGCAACCAAAGTGTGTGGTGTTTTCAGCAATGACGTCTTAGCATGAAGTTCTGGGGAACACGGAGCTCCTTTAGTTTTCGGTCTAAACTGAAGTCTAGGGGCAGAATTCCTCCTTCAGGGACCCAGGCTTTTTCTCTCAAGGCATTCAATAGATTGGGTGAGGCCAACCAATGTTGTGGAAGTCATCCTCTTTACTCCAAGAAAGTGAGTAAATGATTTAAATATCAGTCAGATAAAAACAATACTGCAATAAGGTATTGCATTAATTAATTGTCCTAATTGGTTAAGCATTAGGACACCAAACTACCACAAAGTGATCCATCACACTGTGCCTCTGAGGGAAAGAACTAGGGGTTTTTTTTGTTTGTTTGTTTTTGTTTTGTTTTGTTTTTTTGCAGGTCTGGAGTTTATTTGGAAAAGCCAGCTAGTCCAGCCTTCAGGGCCAGTAGTAGTCCTGCTGCCCCTGGCGGGTGGGTATAGCAGGATCCTCAACACTGCCTGCCAGCGCCTGGCAAGGACTGGGGTAGTGTTGGTTGCTGCAGCTGGCAACTTCCGGGATGATGCCTGCCTCTACTCCCCAGCCTCTGCACCAGAGGTAGGTGCCAGTCAGTGCCGTTGCCTCAGAACAAAGGGAAGGTGGCAGATGTCCCGCCCCCTCGCTGGCTGAGCTCCCAAGTGGACCCCTGGTGGGACTCATGTCTTCCCCACGCCAACCCACTGTCCTGTCCAATCCCTTAACCTCCCTCCTCATTGTCCAGCTCTTTACTCATAACTGGCCCCAGTGAGATTGGGGGTTACTGCCAGTACCAAAGCTCTCACGTCATGACCATCAGAGTATCTGCCATGTCATTGGCTGTGGCAGGTGCATCCTGGGAGGGGCTTTCCTGGAGGAGCTGACAGTCCAGCGGGTCCATCCTCATCTGAGGGACACCTTCAGAGCATCTGTTATGCGGTGGACTATTAATGCTGGGAGTGCTGAGGAGGGAGGCACCTGTCTCAGTTCAAGGCCTCCCAAAACCCAGCCTGCCTCCCTCACCACCTCAGCTTACCAAACTGCTGAATTTAACATCACTAAGGCCCCGCCTGTCGCCTCCATCTTGCCTGCTCTAGGCTTCTACACAGTACCATGCCTGCCTGACAGAAGAACCCTCGCTACCTACCCAGTCTCCTCATGAGAACATGGGCTCCACAGGGACTCAGGAATGGGGTCTGGCACATGGTGGGCAGCCCTGGCTAAGGCGAAATGCCAGCGTTTCGTCCCCCCCCCCCCGAGGAGCTGCATTTCTCATAGGGGACAGCATTCCAGTGGGACATATGTGGGAGTTGGCGTTAGCTCCTCCAGAGGCGAGACCTCCCTACCCCCACTGTGACCCTCTTCTTTCTCTGCTACCCACCTCCTCACCTTGCCAGGTCATCACAGTTGGGGCCACCAATGTCCGGGACCAGCCAGTCACCCTGGGGACCTTGGGGACCAACTTTGGCCGCTGTGTGGACCTCTTTGCTCCTGGGAAGGACATCATTGGTGCCTCCAGTGACTGCAGCACCTGCTTCACGTCCCAGAGCGGGACGTCACAGGCTGCTGCCCACGTGGCTGGTGAGTCTCCACCCCACCCTCCTGCCATCATGGCCCTTTGGCAGGCGGCAGGGTCTGTACCCTGACCCTCTGGGACAGGTCCTGTGCCTGAGGGCAAATGTGAGGGTGACCTGATGGTGCCTGTGGTGAGCAGCTTTCTGTCAGTGTGGTAGTGTCTGAGGAGGAGGCGCTTTGACTTGAGGTTCAGCTCACACTCACTTGGCACCTTTATTTTAGGGTGTGCCATGGTGGGGAATGTGTGGCAGAGTGAAACTGCTCAGCAGAGAGGTCTTTTGACCTACGACACACCCCCAATAACCTATTTCTATTAGGACCACATCTTCTGGAAGTTCTGTCTCCTCCGGTGACCAAGCCTTCAATATACAGGGTTTTTTTTGGGGGGGGGGCATTTAAGAATCAAACTATCACAATGTCCTGAAGAACACTGGGTGTACCAGGGAAAGGTGTACAAATAAATGGAATAGAAAGTAGTCAGGGCTCTCTTAGGGGGAACCCCACGGAGGTACCTGTTCAGCCTTGCGGTCAGGGAAGCTTCCCTGGAGGAGTTGGATGTGGGATATAGTGGATGGCTTCACCTAGCAAACATCTGCAGTTGCTGAGGCCCAAAGGCAGGAGAGGACGTTTTCTCACCTGATTTTCACCAAGTGAGAAAGGGGTCACAGGTACCTAAATTTCCAGACAAGCTTTTGTATGCGTGCGTGTGCATGAAATGTATGTGCATGCATGTGTTTGTTCCTTCATATGCACCCGGGCAGGAGTCCTATGGTTGGGAAGGGCCACCCACCTTCTCTAATTCTGCACCCCCAGGCATTGTAGCCATGATGCTGACTCTGGAGCCAGAGCTCACTTTGGCCGAGCTGCGGCAGAGGCTGATCCACTTCTCTACCAAAGACGTCATCAACATGGCCTGGTTCCCTGAAGACCAGCGGGTGCTGACCCCCAACCTGGTGGCCACACTGCCCCCCAGCACTCATGTGGCCGGTGAGCAGGGTGGCAGGGAGGGCACACTGTCCCCTTCCTGGTTCAAGGGTTTTCATTCCTTGGCTATAGTTTAAGGGCGGAGGCTCTGGAACGGCTTGCTGACATTTCCATGATGTATTTCCACGGGAAAACAGTGAGCTTGAAGGCCGCTCTTTCCTGCCATCAGCCGAGGCTTTCCTTAATATCCCAAGACCCTACTCTTCTGGGACTTGTTGCAGGCGGGCAACTGCTCTGCAGGACGGTGTGGTCAGCACCCTCGGGGCCCACACGGACAGCCACCGCTACAGCCCGCTGTGCCGCAGAAGAGGAGCTGCTGAGCTGTTCCAGCTTCTCCAGGAGCGGGAGGCGACGTGGTGATCGGATTGAGGTACCCTGGCTGTTTGTGTCTATCCCCCACCAGCCCCAGCCCTCAGCAGCTGCAGCTGCTTGGCCCCTGAGTTGTCTTCCAGTTCCCATTTTTCAGGCTTAAAGGTGTGGCCAGAGATCCACATCCAGGATGGGCAGTGCCCACTGGGCATGCAGGCAGGGCCTTGTGCTGGAACGTCTTAAGAGCTACTTCACTGTGTTGGTCTCTGGAGTTGGGGTGAGGGGCATGCAGATGCTGTGTGACACTGTTTGGTTGGAGGGCACCACCTGACCAGGAGGGCCAGGTCCTAGGGACAGCTCCTGGGATGCTTTCCAGGCCGGGGCTGGAGCTGGTATGTCAGCCACCCAATGTCTCCACTTGGAAGCAGAGTCTGTGTCTGGAAATTTTATACGGAGCTGCCTGGAGATAGAAGTTTGTCTTGGGCCTGGGTGAGCTCCTCGTCTCTAGAGCAGTGGGGATAAGGATGATGCTGAGGCCTCCACAGGTCCCAGCTGGGTGCCTGTGCCTCTTTGTCCCAGCCTTGTATTCTTTTCTTACTGGTTCTTGTTTTTCTGTGGCCCTCAGGCTACAGGGGGGCAGCAGGTCTGCAAGGCCCTCAATGCATTTGGAGGTGAGGGGGTCTACGCTGTCGCTAGGTGCTGCCTGCTTCCCCATGCCAACTGTAGCATCCACACCACGCCTGCAGCCAGAGCTAGCCTGGAGACCCGTGCCCACTGCCACCAGGAGGACCACGTCCTCACAGGTAGGAGTCCAGTCCAAGCCGGGAGAAAGAGGCCCTGTTCTGAAGTGCTTGACTCCGGAGCCTGGTCCTCCAGAACCCGAGATCCAGGGCCCACTGCAAGCTGGCCTCCATTCCTTCCATGTGGTGTGATCCTTTCTCCTCGGCTTCCTTCTCAAGAGAGGGATGGGGCCAGTGCCTCCTCAGGGGTGGTAATGGCAGGGTGAGGTAGGGCACAGGCTGAGGGTGCCTAGTGCCAAGCAAGGGAAGGCTCTGAGGCCTGTCTCCAAGGGGGCAACCTCAGTTTGAATTCTGGCACTCGGCAGCGGGATCAAGTTCTTTATCAGCCCCGTGCTCGGTTTCCTCATCCTGGAGTGTATGTATGCCAAGCAGGTAGCCTGGTCCTGGGACAAGGTGCATTAGCTGTCCTTGTCATCTCACTGCCCTGCGTCTGGGTTAGGGAGCATAATGGTCACTGTCAGAAACATTCCCAGGCAAGTAGTAGAAAACGCAGGCGGAGACCTTGAGTGCCATTCGGGGACGGGGGCTGTAAGGTCAGGAGACGAGCAGTCCTGCATGGATGGAGGATGTTAGAGAGGGCATGAAGGGGTGGGACGCGCTGGGAATGGCTCGCTCAGGGGCAGATTCTACTGGACCGCAGGCTGGGGAGCCACTGAGGGCTCCAGAGTGAAGGGTGGGGTGGTCAGGGCTCTGGCACAGAATGGGTCTGCAGGGTGCAGGCGAGCCCAGTGGGTGGCTGCAGACTGGACTAGGCAAGGTTCCCTGGTCCTGTTGGTCACACCTCTGTGCTGCGCTCTGTTGGGAGTGTCAACAGCTAAGCCCCAGGGCATATTCAGAGCAGTGAAAGCCTTGGACCTTCTCTATCTGCAGCCCAGCAGAGCTCCACTCACCAGCTAAGGGAGCTGTCCCTCCAGGTAGGGTGGCTCTACTGAGGTCCCCTAGCTAGGACACAGAGGACTCTGGTCCCCAACACTGTAATATGCAGTCTTTGCCATGCATAGGTCATATGCTGGGACTTCACACATATGGCCTCCGTTCCTCTTCAGTGTCTCTGTGCTCTTGTGCTCGAAATGGTACTAAAGGGAAACTGAGGCTGAGTGGCCGCTATCTATGGTTTTGTAGCTGATGGTGTCCCTTACTCCCAAGACCAGAGGGAGTCCCTAGGTGTCCCAGGCAGACCTGGGCTCACGCCTTAACTTTTGGTGGTAGGAGGGGGAAGGAACTCAGAGGCTCTGAGTACCTCAGCTGAGGACCCCCATCCCATGCTTTTCTTAAGAAAGTAAGGCTCCAAGAGGTGGAATGGTTCTGCCAAGACCACGCAGATGGTCAGCGGCAGAAGTGAAAATCCAGGCATCCTGCTGCTCAAACCAGAGTCTGTTCTACTCTGAGCGGAAGCAGCCTCCAGATGGGGTCAGAAAGACAGGAGGCCCCCAGAATTGTGGTGTCTGAGCTGGACGTCCTCTGTTGTAGGCTGCAGCTTCCACTGGGAGGTGGAAGACATTGGGGTCCAGCAGCCGGCTCTGCTGAGGCCCAGACATCAGCCTGGCCAGTGCGTTGGCCACCGGGAGGCCAGCGTCCATGCTTCCTGCTGCCATGCCCCAGGCCTGGAGTGCAAAATCAAGGAGCATGGGGTCTCAGGCCCTACAGAGCAGGTGAGGGGTTGGAGGTGCCTGGGTCCGTGGGGTGGCTGCCTGTGTTGGTGGCGCCCCATGCTATTCTGTGTCAAGGTAGGGGTGGATGGGCCAGGCAGCTTTTACTGTTGTATGTTCATCGTGTGTGTGTGTGTGTGTGTGTGTGTGTGTGTGTGTGTGTGTGCGTGCGTGTGTTTGCGCATGGCAGGCTGGGCTGCGTTTGCTCTTGTCCAGATAAGCAAGGCTCGGCGTCCACCCTGCTCCTCTCTGAAAGCACACATGGCCATGGCGAGTGGGAAAGGAACACGGTGCCTGAGTGCTGTCTCCGACATTATTAAGGCTGCTGGGAGGCAGCTGGCGCAGGGGCTCTTCAGCGTCTGGACAGAGCGATGCAGGTGTCATGGGGGGACAGCTGAGTACGTGAAGGCTGAGGGAGGGAAGGAAGAGCCCCGGGAAGAGGGCCAAGGCCTGACAGCTGGCCTTTCGGAGCCTGAGGCAGGAGGGCCCCTCCTTTACAAAGCTCCAGGGGGTGGGGTCAGAGTGAGGCTCAACGCTGCTCCACGAAGGGGACCCTCAGTTCTGCTTTATCTGTCAGTGAGCGCAGGTACCCAGAGATGCTGGCTCCCTGCTGGTCCAGGTCCTAGGGGAAGAAACTGGGTAGAGAGAGGTTCCTGCTTAGCCCACCAGGAGTGTCCATTCTGGTGGGAGAGGACAGTAAACACAGGAAACTACAAAGTACCAAGAGGATAAGGTGGAGGAAAAAGGGGCAGGGAGAGTGGTGGGTTGAGACAGCCTTGGGGTGGGATGGGGCCTTCACCAGGAACAGTGTTTCTGGCAGAGGAAGCAGAGGGGTGACAGGATCATCCAGGCCTACGGCAGGGTGGGACTCAGAAGTGTGGAGAAAAGCACAGGGTGGGGCTTAAGGGCCAGCAGGCCTTAGGGATTGCTGAGTGATGTGCCATGTGAGGTTGAGGGTGTTCTGACCTGGGGCTTGACCAGGCGCACAGCTGAACTGTGAAGAGGAGGCAGGGAACACGTTCTGGTCCAGACCTAGGCGGTAAGGGCCTAGGCTAGGGTGGGAGATGGGGGAGATGCTGCAGGTCTGGGTGTGGAGGAGGCGGAAGAATGGGTCTCAGGCTTCTGTTGCGCCTCTCGACAGTGGGAGCTGGGATGGAGGGCTGAGAGGTGCCGACTTGGAGGATGGGAAGGAGGCTAAGTTAGAAGTCCAACTAACCTGGGGGGAGTGTGTTGGTCATTGCAGCCCTGCCTGGGCCTGAGAGGCAGTGGAGCTCAGGCAGGTCACAAGTCCCAGTCATGAGCTTTCTTTCTCTGGACTCCGCCGGCAGGTCACCGTGGCCTGTGAGGCAGGCTGGACCCTGACTGGATGCAATGCTCTCTCTGGGGCATCCGTCACTCTGGGGGCCTACGCCGTGGACAACATGTGTGTGGCAAGAAGCCGTGACACCGACGTGGCAGGCAGGGCCGGTGAGGAAGCCACAGTAGCTGCTGCCATCTGCTGCCGGAGTCGGCCTTCAGCAAAGGCCTCCTGGGCTCACCAGTGACGGTCTCAGGCCGGGATGGTGCCTGCGCCTGGGTGCAGATATACCTGCCTGGGAGAACTTGGTGTCTCACCCTGGATACCCCTTCCTGGTGTCTGTGTAGGGAAGCCTAGCACTCTACCATCAGAGAGGTTAAGTGGTGGTCGTCCCCGCCAGCTGTTCCGGTGTGTATCTGTCCCATAGGAAGGTGATGAGGGAGATCCTTAGAGCTCAAGTGCCAGACTGGGGAACTGAGTCTGAAAGCTGCTGGGACCCCTCACAGCCTGCTCACATTGGAGACACTATTTTGGGCTCCCTGATTGAATTCGGATCAGTTCTGCACACCTCTAGGGGTGATGACATCTAGCCGGTGGTGGATCCAGCTGTGAGGCCATGCCCGTATCTTCCAGATGCCCTCTATCTATTGCACCCCAGGCTTCGGCCCTGCTCAGGCTGCCTGGTTGTGAGGCCCCCAGCTGACTGCACCTGGGAGCCACACAGTGCTGACTCCACCTCACCCCACCCCCTCTACTACCCTGCACAGTGAAGACCGGCAGCCTCACTTTATGGAGAAAGAAGACAGGACCAGAGAGGGGCGTGCCTGGTGATATCACACAGCCAGTGGTGTCAGGATGTACATCCAGAGTGGCTGGCCCTGACACCATGCCTCTTGGCAGTGCCAGGCTGGGCACGCTATTTCTGAAAGGAGACGGAGGCCAGTCCACGCCTCAGCAGCGGTTCCTGGATCGCTCCCTAGGGCAGGCCCTCCCCATGGCTCCCCGAGCTTCACGGGCACGGACTGTGGAGAACGGAGGAGCGACAGGCCACACAGGCTGACAAGAACAGACACCTCTGTTCTCTCGGCATTTCCTCCTTTTTATATAAGCTTTCCCATTGGCACTGCTTTTGTAACTTGATATTTATTCTGGGTTTTGTAGAGTTTTTATTATGTAGTGAGTTTTCAGAATAAAAGCAGCTGACGTGACTGCCTGCACTGAAGAGGCTGCCTACTTACCAGGCACAACTATCTGCTGGATGGTGGGGTGCACAGGCCTGTAATGGGAATGCTCTCCTTGTGCCCATTCTAGGAACATAGTGACTGTCTTCCTATAGCCCCCCGACTCCTCAGAGTCCTGGTACTGTCTTGGGGCACCTCATTCCCTTCAAGCATTCTAGATTCTTCGTGGCTCCTGCCTACCAGCACACTCAGTCCCCAACCCCTCTGTCAGCCTTCTCTACCTAGTGGCAGCTGCAGGACTCAGTAGTCTTCATGGACTCATTCACTCATGAGTCTGTGGGTGTTTCTGCAAGCAGACCATAGTTGCTCCTGATCTGAAATGAAGCATGCTCCCAGATCTCTTTCCAGTGTGCAGTGTGCAAATATTCCACTCATGCAGTGTGCGACCTCTGGGTGTCACTGTCCGAAGCAAAGTCTACCTCTATATAGTCCATATAACAAATGGCTCTGCCCCAGACCTTCTCCCAGCTGTTTGCTGAACATTGGTGCCACACGTGGAAAGCACTCTAGTCGACAGAGCTAACGGCTCAAATGTCGGAGCAGCGTTTGGCAACTGAGCCACTGGCACTGCGTTCTGAGCCCAGGGGAGACCTGCCTGTCCCCCATGGCAAAGGACCACAGGCTGGTTGGTCAGACAGCCACGCAAGGAAACTGGCCCCCGCAGGTGGCTGGCAGATACCTGCAGGGAGAGGAAGATGTAGTGAAAGGGATGGGACCCTGTGAACAATGCAGACCACCAGGAATGACTGACCAGAGCAAGGAACTTAGCTTGGGACTCCTTCTGAAAGCCGAGGCTACAGGCCCTGAGCTCGGGATTGCTCTCCCTGTCCAAGGTGTGCACAGAGGTCCTGGAAGGAGAGATCAGAGAAGGCGGGGAGAACATAGCCCCAACCGCAGCATGGCCCTCACCCTCATAGTGCAGGGCACCAGGAAGGACTCGAGTGCCCCTACGCTGCTTCCCAGGGTCCCCCCGCCCCCCACAGCCCCAGTCCGACATTCGGAGAAAAATGTCTGTGAGACCCCAATTCTACATTTTTGAAAAATTTATTTCCTACTCTTAGAAGCTAAGAACTCCACCACACAGGAACCAAATTTAGAATCCAGAGTCTTTCCTAGTTTATCTACTTCCTTTTGCAATTTTATAAACAAGATTTTGTACACAAGAGGTAGCAGAGGAAAATTCCAGTCTGCTTGTTCCAAGCTCAAAAGATGCTGCACACGCCTCGGTGTTAGCAGGGAGGGTGGGGCAAGCCAGGTGAGTTTGGTAGCTCAAGCTCTGGGTTTTACAGCCACGAGCTGTTGGCGACCACGAGAGTTCACCCGGGGAGCTGCAGGCAAGCTGCCTGTGGGAGGCTCATCTGTCTGTCCCAGGATGCCTTAGGAGCAGGAGAGCAGTCCTGAGGTCAGACTGGACTGCAAGAGCTTCTTGAGAACACACAGCGTTGAGTCAATTGTGCAATTCCTGCTTGATTGCAGACCATTGTAAAAGATTATAAAAACATCTTCATCCAAAAATTGGCAGTAAAAATGACAACTCTTCCAAGGCAAGCCTGCCTAGTGTCACTTTGTGGTACTACATTTAAAAAGGTCCTCAGTAGGTTAGTGGACTGCAGCTGTTGGAAATCAAGTGGTTACTGGTAACGTGGTGAAGATGCTCAATGTAGCAACAAGGAAGATGATGGACCAAAGCGGACAGCGCTGGCGATCCTGATGCAGCTTTCTGTGAGGACAGCGGGTGCAGGGGCGGAAGGCGTCGTTTCCATAGGAAATAAGGGGACTGACTAGAAGTGGCAATGTCACTCCTGAATCCGGGCTCCTGAGTGCAGTTGCCGGCAATGATATCCCACTAAGTATCATCGTCAGCATTTCAATGCATGTCCCACACAATCTTTCTGCAAGCATGGGTGTGAAGAGATGGGGAGTCGGGAAGGGAAACCATGGGATACGGGCGTTCAGATATTCAAAATCAACTTTAGACCCTCACATTCAAAAACTGTAAGAACACCAGAACCAGACCAGACCTGCCACTTGCCTCTGTTTCCCTAAGGGCACAGCTCTGCTCTTACATGCTGGCCCTTCCATCTCTGTGAGTCTGACACTGGCCTGTGGTAGGCGACAGGAGCTACAAGTGAAGCCGGCTGCACAGGACATCCACAGCTCAACAGTGGCATGAAGGCCCTGAAGCCCACAGCAGGGGATGCCACCTGCCTGCCACTCATCCCCACAACGCAAAAGCATCAAAAAGGCACTTGGGGCTGGCCGTGCCTCTCTGACTGGGCAGATCTGGCTGACAGTGGCAGCCTGGCACTCCCGAGGCTCCTTTAGTTCTGTGCCCGGCACGTGGGAATAAGGCAGAAACGTAACTCAAGGTGAACAAGGCGGCGGAAACCGAGCAGTTCAAAATACAAAATGACAAGACCACAGGGAACGGCGGGGCAACCCCAGCCTGAGACCAGAGACCGAGGCCATGTTGGCAAATACAACTAAATGGGTGGTGTCTAACTATTTTCTAGTTATTTCAGAGAAAGTAAGGTTTAAATCTTGCCTTTTCAGTATCTCGTCAAGGAGAAACAAAGTCTTGAGTTCTTTTTCTGTAGTAAAAGTATGATTCATCTCACAAAGCAGCAGCTCCCAGCCTAGGTATTTAACTCAATATACAATCAATACAAGGGCCACAGAAATTATGTTTAAGTAAAAACAAATGATTGCAGATCACATGACTTAAGACTAGTTTATTCAATATGTCTCCGAGCATTAAAAAGATAATTTTATGAAGTCAAACTCAATAAAATTATAAAGTGCTTTTAATTTTGTTGTTTTAAAATTTTATTTTGGGAACAACTCATCACTTTTCAGTGATTGATCTCAGAATGCACCCTATACTTCTAGAGAACATAGCTTTTTTTATTTTGTTTTAAATTTATTATTGCTCTTTTCAATCTTGAATCAGAAAATACCTTAAAGAGCTTAATAATGCCACAATTTCTGATACTAGTAACATGTCATCAAGATCTAAGATTATGCCGAGGGCTCTTAACCAGACAAAACGAGAGATTCTGTACAAAGCGGGAGACATATTAAATACAAAGGTCTATGTAAACTGGATTCAATTACTATTTTACAATGAAAGGAATTTTACCACATATCTTTACATCGTTCTAAACAGGATATTCCTATTCAACGTTACTGCAGATTAAAAATTTCCCTCACATACCTAGAAATATAAAAACCAAAAGATCCCCCCCCTGCCCAGCCCATACGTCACAGAGAAAGCCATAGCTTTGCTCCTCCATCCTCACTCTCCTAGGTTCAGGTGTCCCAAGTTGCCACCAGCTTTACTTCCTAAAATGATGTGTCAGTGCACATGTTCACCTGGGACAGCTGGTCCACGTGCCAGGATTCTCCCGCTCGCTGCTAAGCAGCTCCCACCTTCTAGTGGCCAGAGAAGGCTTCCCTTGGGAACACATGGTCCTCCATTACACTCCTGGCTCAGACTCCAGGCTCTGGTAAGGGCTTCAAGGCTGCGATTCTGGTTTCCAAAAGGTGCTGAGCATCCCATTTGGGCACACTGCTCTAAGGGTCAACATCATCAAGGTCACTTCTTAATTCGCCAATCATCATGGGAGATTCTGAACCCTGTGGCAAAGAAAGGAAGTTAAGGTTCCTGCAATTAAAGTTAGGCAAGAGTTTTCCACACTGACTTCCTTACTTGTGTTCCGTAATTTAAGAATAACCTCACCGAGCAACTTAGTTCTGCTTAGCCAAAGGTAATAAGACACAATGCTAACTATTACTCCTTCTGGCAACTCATGATTATGTAGAACATTTGCATTTGTATGGTCTTACTCAGTCACTAAAACAACCCTTGGACTGGCCTCGGCTCTACACTTCTCTACACCCACACAGGCAGACTCACGTTAGGACTGATTAAGCAATGGGAAAAAGCAGAGAGAGGGACTGGACACCAGCGACACTTGACTTCATGCCAGGTCATGCTAGGTCATTCCTGAGTCTACAATTGGGTCCTGTAATCCAATGGGTGGTGTTTGGTTTATATGCTTAATAATTAGTTTTGAAGATCTACCCCATGCCTTGCCATAGGGCTGAGCTGCTGTCTTTACACCCACTCTCTATAGCAGGGTCACTTCTTTCTTGACCTTTGGAATGCCGAAGAGCAAACGCTGCCTTCCAGCCGAAGACAGGCTGCAGAGATACCTGCTGTAAGTGTCTCTCCCCATTCTCATTGGCAGGGCTGCTCTCCGACCCGTTGCTGCTTCCTGATTGCTCCTTTTCATTCAGCAAAGCTGTGGCATATGCTAATGTGTCCTGCGGAGATTCAAACACATGAAGACAAATTAGGGGCTGGTCCAGACCAGTCCTGAGTAGCAAGCACACTTGAGTGACATCTGGCAGCACTTTCCCCACGGCTGCCAAAGCACCCCACAACCCCTTGTCCTGTGAGACCTGTTAACCAACCTGCAGCAGCGCTTTTCTCAGGCAAATGATCTGTTCCCATTGGCTCTGAGGACACCAGCTCACTGTCTTTCATAAAAAGACAATGGCTGCTTCTGTGTCTCATTTCCTACCCTTCCCTCTCTTCTGAGCGGTGGTTTCAAAGCATGCCAGGGCAGACACCTCTCACCTGAGCTGAGATGGTTCGCTGAAAGGTTTTTCCAGTTGAGGTTTCGTTAGAGACATTGCTCTGCGGAGTCCAATAATGTTCTGACATCTGGGGTAAAAGACCAAGCAGAGGTGATGGGTAAGCACCCCACCCCCCCACCCCACCCCCGCCGCCCCGCAAGTACACAGTTCCTACCCTACACACCCGAGTCTAACAGCCAGAGGTGCAAGTCTACCTAGACCTCCACACCCCAATTATTACAGAGGACCGTCCCCCACTTTCCAACAGGAAGATACTGCTTCTTAATCAGAGTGCTGGCCTCGACTTTTCATCTCGGGAGTGAAGACAGATAGATGTTAAGTGGCGCCCCCTCACCATCCATGCCTGTGTTGCCCATACTTTGTTACTGGTGAACAACCATGGTCCAAATATATGAAAAGGAAAGTTCCAAAAAGAAGTCATTCTTAAGTTTTAAATTGTGTGCCAGTGTGAGAATTGTGATGAAACCCTGTACTGTCCCTCTGTCTGCTCCGGACAGAAACTATTTGTCCAGCGATGTATCTACCCTCTATATGCTACTGGCCCAAGGATCTCTCCACTGGTAACACATCAGTGTTACAAGAGTCATGCAGTCTGCTTATACCATCCACCTCTTCACACAGGCATCACATCATTTCCCATCACCACAAGAAACATTAGCACAGTACAAAATTCTTTTATTACAGTACACTGTTATCATTTTCTAGTGTATTCTGTCCCCATTTTATTGTTATTATTAATCTCTTCCTGTGCCTAATATCCAGCTAAACTTTATCATAGTTGTATGTATCTAAAAGAAAAACACAGCATATGTAGGCTTGGTATTATCACCCACCTGGGGGCATGTCTTAGATCATAACTCTTTGGAGATGGAGAGATGGCTCAGTAGTTAAGAACACCTGCTGCTCTTACAAAAGACCTGAGTTTGGATCCCAGCACATCCAGGTCCAGAGGATGTGACATCCTCTTCTGGTCTCCATGGGCACTCACAAGCATGTGCATATACTCATATACACACATAAATAAAAACAAAATCTTAAGAAAAAAACTGCTGTGTGGTGGCGCATGCTTTTAATCCTAGCACTTGGGAGGCAGAGGCAGGCGAATCTCTGTGAGTTCAAGGCCAGCCTGGTCTACAGAGTGAGTTCCAGGACAGGTTCCAAAGCTACACAGAGAAACCCTGTCTCGAAAAAACCAAAAAGAAAAAAGGAAAAAAAAAACCAAAAAACCCATAGCACTGTGAGATGTGAGGGAGAGGTTGTTACCATATTAAGACACAACTTTAATACATGTACATAATGTACTGATGAAAAAAATGTTTGGAGGGCTAGAGAGATGGCTCAGTAATTAAGAGCATGTATTCTACTCACAGAGGACCCAAGTTAGATTTTCATGTCAGGCAGCTTACAAATGCCTATGAAATGCCTATGACTCCAGCTCCATGGGATCTGATACCTCTGACCTCCATAGGCACTAGTGTGCACGCGCGCGCGCGCACACACACACACACACACATGTGCGTGCGCACATGTGCGCATGCACACGCGCGCGCGCGCGCGCGCGCGCACACACACACACACACACACACACACGCACACACTAATAAAAATAATAACAATAGATCTAAAAAAAATTTGACATCTCAAAGTAGTTTGAGGTCATTCTATGAGTTAAGTTTAGGAAAAAAACCATTTTCCAGGTAAGAGGTGTTGTTTTAGATTCCTATGTTATAGAGCTGGCAAAGTTCAAAATTCTATTACCTTCTTCTGTAACCACTGTACAGCCCAACTCCAGTGATGAGAATTCTCCTTGAAGTATTCTTTAGCAGCAGGACACCTGGTCATCAAGGATATTATTACTAGTCAAATCCTTTTTGAAAATATTCCTGCTCAGCTACAGCTGAACTTGAAACATGAAGGCTACTTTTACTAAAAGTAAGTTTTCCCTTTATGTTTGGACAGGTAAAACCATCATCTGCTTGACCTCCAAAAGGCAGCCAAGGCAAATACAGTGCCTAGTCTCACTATCTCTAACTATCTCAACAGTTCTGCTAAAATTCGAAGCTGGAAAACCAAACAAACCCAACTATCAATAAACTGTATTTAATAACTAATCTTTGTATATAATCAAACTAATCTTTAGTTTTGTGTTAGAAGAAGGGAGAATGAGATGCTGGGGGGATAATTTGAAAGCATGCTTGGGAGCACCTCTCCTCCTTTCCATTTACTTCGCCTATCCACATAACTGTCCTCCATATCTGAAGAGAGCACCGAAGATGATGTCGCCACTGGTGTGTGTAGACAGGACACGTGAGGACACTGGCAGGCACTGGGCAGCTGCTGGTAGGGGACATGCCATTGGTCCTAGCACTACTTGGAAATGCCCATCTTGACATGCTGCCATTATCAAGTCTAATCAAGGGACCCGCAGTTGTGGCAGGAAGACACCTGTCTGTGTCCAGAGTACTATGTCCTCTAGAAAAAAAACATTATTGCACATAAACCCTACCTACTTTCCTGTTTGGGAAGTTCAAGCACAACAAATTAAGCCCAACAAACTTGTCATTCTTATTCTGATACAAGTCCAAGAATGGCCATTTCTATGCCTACAAAGTGGGGCAAAAAAGATGACTGAGTGCAGATACAATGTAGTCACTATAGTCACTGACCTGGTCTGACTATGGACTACACAGGGCTAGACATCAACCACAGAATGACACAGCCCGTGGCACATAAGCACAGGAAGGACGTTCTAACTAGAGCATGGACAAACCTCGAAGACACTGCACTAAGTCAGGCAAGGTAGTTGTTGGATACATGGAGGCAGAAGTTAGAACGACTGCCAGCAGCTCAAGGAGAAGGAATGGGGAGTCAGTACTCAGCAGGGGTTCAGAGTTTTAGCTTTGGAAGATGAAAGGATCTAGAGATGGATGGTGGTAAGTACAATATTTACTGTGTATGTGCCATGGTACACACGCGCAGGCCTGAAAACAACTCCTGGGAGTCGTTCTTCCTTCTAGCAACACAGAGGAGCTTTGTTACTCAACTGCACCGACTGTATACTGGTTAAGGAGTTATGTCCCGTCTATTGTGTCACGGTTAAAAAGTACCCTCACTCTGAGGTCAACCTCAAAGTGTAAGTTAGTTCTAAGACGGCAGGGATGCCACTCAGACCATATGCGCCGACATCTCCCCACCACCAGGCCGCGGTAAGGATTAAATGAAGTAGTGCCAGCAAAGCACCTGGCACAGAGTCCTGGCTTATAAGTGCTCTACAGAAATAGGTGACAGGAGTCTGTCTCTTGAGAGACTTTCAAACTGGGAACCTTGGGTTCCGAAGAGCTGCTGGTTAACGGAAAGGACTTTGGGAAAGTTCACTGTTGCTCCTGAGGTCTCCAAACCCACCCGATTCCTGCCCTCCTGACAAGACCAGTGCCACCTTTCCTTCTTTGGAAATTCTGCAACATCTATTACTTTCTAATATTCCCCCTTCAGTTTCTTTGGGGAGACAATCTGAATAGGTTCCTGTAGTTTTCAAGCAGGCATGCCCTCAAATCTGTCAGTTTCTCTCAGGTCCCAAAACAAGGCAGTTCCCACCCCACAGTCAAACCCACTTCCTCTCTATTTTAAGTTTATACTTACTTTTGAGCAAGAGTGACAAGAAATTTGACACACTGGTAGCAACGACTGCTGTCCACATGGTTACTGTGGTGCATCAATGCTGGAGGAAGACAAGACACTTTAAAAACAAGGCCCTGGAGGGTGCAAGTACTAGCGACTGTTCTTGCTCTGGAAATAAGTTTGATAAGTGGGTAGGGAACAATTACCTGACTCAACAGAACCATCCAGATTCTAGTGTTTTACTATGTTTTAAAACACAGGTGTATGTAGTAGCTTGACTTCTAGAACTGGAAGAATTACAACTTCAACTGGATGATATTCAAAACTCCCCCACACTGCTACCCAGACAAGAGCAGTTACAACTACTTATGATTTGATAATGGAAATTTATCAAATGTTTCCTATTTTCTATTTTAGCAATTTAAAAATACTCTTTATGTGTTAATGCTTTTAGGTTCCAGAGGACCTGGTATGGCTGATGCTAGGATTACAGTACTCTGCCCCAAACTGGGCTAGAAACCTTTGAGCTTGTAGCTCTCTTTTGCCTTACATGGTGGCTGTTAGGTTTGTTCCTCCTAATGCTGCCATGTGCTCCTTAAGGATGGGGATATATTCTGAGATTTGTTTGGTAGGTGAGGTCTTTGTTGTAAAGATCAGGGGGAACTTATGCAAAGGAGAACCATTAGTGACATAATCTTATGTAACCCTATTTTAGGTACAGTTCACCAGCGACAGAAATGTTCTGTGGACCATGATGGTGCACAAAACCAGTGCCTGTGATGAAAGATTTTTGTGGATGGTAGAAAGTGGACAGGCATGTTTTTACTGAACCATTTCTAATGCATAGTGTATTAAAAATAAGTCAGATTTCTACAAAAGAAAGCCCAGACATAGAACATGGTAGACAATGGACATGTGGGTCAAAAGACCACACTTCATATATCTGTCAGTACTGTGAGCCTAGGGCATTAGGTTTTCTTCCCATGGCTGCTGAGGAAGAAAAAGATTTGTCACTAGAAAGACCCCTTTAGTGTTTAGAAATCTTTATAGCATTTCTGAACCTTCCCTGATGTGGGAAAGAACCCTAGAATGGACCTACTGCGTAGAAGGACAGTCTCCTGGTCAGGATGAGGAACCCCAGTGACAATAACAATTCGTCTAATGGAGCAGTCATCCAAGTCAGGGAGAGCAGAGGGACCATGCCTGCGGGAATGGAGCTTATTTATAAATTCACTGCAGGCACTTTGCTCCTTAACTGGTATACTTGCCTAGTAATCCATTTTCTGTCTCAAACACAAATTTGACTCGCTCTACTTGTATGGGATCTTCAATGACCTGTCAGAGGAAGGAGACAAAGTTAGCAACTGACAGCAGCAGCAGCCGCAGCCTGGGCAGAAGCTCCTGGTCTCCCCACAGTTCTGCTCCAGGGACTAGCTTCTACAACAAAGCAAATACGAAGGGATGTTATGCGATTGCCATCTCTAATTCAAAACCAAAATATAAAATTATCAAAGATCCATTCATTTCCTATATATGTGTTTCTAACAACTCTAGCCATAGTTTTCTGAGGGCTGAAGACAGATGTTTTGTGTTCCTAAGGACACAAGATCATTTTTAATTTATTTAGCAAAAATGTGTTTAAGTTTTGCTGTTGGG